AAGCCTCTGACATGTCAGCACAGTCATCAGCTCCTGCTGCAAATGAAATGACCTCAGAAATGATCAAAACTTGTTACGGGGGGATGCTGCCTTCTTTTGTCCCTTTAATTGATTTTACACTTAACAAACGTGACAGATTAGAAAGAGATTTCCTGTGGAGACACCAGGGGTATTCTGGATATTACTGGCTCAGTGACAGACTCAACCCAGGTGATCCAAGTATACAAAGCATCTGAATGTGAAGAAAGCCGCAAATATCTAAAGTTGCTCAATCAGTTCTCCACTGAACATTCAAGCAAGGCTGTGAGATTTTCACTTTGCTTAACAATTCTGATTAGTTGTTTCATGTAACTGGCTCCGATCTTAATAATCTCTACACCAGGGGTCACCAACACGGTGCCTGGGGGCACCAGGTAGCCCCCAAGGACCACATGAATAGCCCGCAGGCCTGTTCTGAAAATAACACAACTCACCAGTAAGATGCGTCTAAAATTTGATATGCGTTTCTAATTAAATTTAATAATTTATTTTTTATACTGTCAAATTTTTATTCCCATATTGAAGTTGACTATTGACTATGATTTGTTAAAAGGGTTTGTCGGTGGCTCGTGAAAATGGGACATTTTTCTTATGAAATGTTGTAGAAGTGATCATCTGAAAATGTAAACAATTGCTGAGATTAATAGAAATAAAGTTGTGAATATTGATATAATCTGTTTCCCTTGTTAGGTCACTGTTGATGATTATTGTGAAAAATCATTAACGTGATCAGTGTCTTCACACAGATGAGTATCATTTATCATTAATAATAATATATACCTAAAGGCAAACTGAGCTAATGTGTTATTTCAGAAGAGTGTATCAAACTGGTAGCCCTTCGTATGACTCAGGACCCATGAAGTCGCTCTCAGTTTCAAAAAGGTCGGTGACCCCTGCTTTATATTATCAGCAATCTGTGAATTTTCTTTGATCCCCAGACACTCACACTCAAGATACAATTTTTTAAATAATTATATCACAAGTCGCAATATAAATAGTTTCAACTAGTTGTGCAGTGCTAGTAGGATCAGAGTTTATGAGCTAAATGTAACTTATTGTAAAACTACGTTTGAATGTTGAGGTGGCGATGAACCTAAGAAGCAGTGGCCATTCTTCATTTTCTGCTTGTCCAGAGAAAAACCCACCAGGGACACAGGGACATGTTTGACGTGATTTCATCAGGACTCATTCGCAGAGGACGATCATTGACTGTCTGTCTAAATCGATGTGTTATTTAAAAGCCACCTCAACACTCAGCTGTGTTTTCGGTCTTCAGGTCAAATCTCTGAAGGAGCACAGAGGGAACTGTGAAACTACAGCTGTGATGGACTCGTAACTTCTTATGATACAGACAAGAGGCACGATCAGCCCCCGACAACGAGACACTCACCGCATAAAGCAGGACACGGTTCTCCTTGTCTTCTTTCGGGTACAACATGTTGTTACTGCAACACAGAGCCGGTGTGTTTAGTGGTTTAAATCCCAGCTCAACAAAGTCAGTTTCACGTGCAGCAGCTAGTAGCTAGCTAGTTAGCTCGGTAGACTTATCTAACCTCCATTTGGCCACAGACTCACCATTCTTGACAAAACCGAATCCCGACAAACCCTGGCTCGTAGGTTCCAGTGTCGAGATCCATCGGAGAAACTAGTGATGGAAGAAAAACTTGACAAATGAGAAGAGCGTGAGGTTCAGTCACTGCGCTCAGCCGCCAGCGCGTCCAGCCGTTTGAAAACACACCATCTGCGCATGCGCTGTGGAATAATATGTGATCACCTCAGCGACAGCGCCTCCTATGAGTTGGAGGACGGATGTATTATTATTATNAACAATTGCTGAGATTAATAGAAATAAAGTGTTAAATATTGATATTATCTGTTTCCCACCTTGTTAAGTCATTGTTGATGATTATTATGAGAAATCATTAATGTGATTGTGTCTTCACATAGATGAGTATCACTTATCATTAATAATAATATATAACTAAAGGCAAACTGAGCAAATTTGGTATTTCACAAGAGTGTATCAAACTGGTAGCCCTTCCTATGACTCAGTACCCACAAAGTAGCTCTCAGTTTCAAAAAGGTTGGTGACCCCTGCTCTACACAATAACCTTGACCATGGATGTTTTAGTTGCTGTCCGTCTGTTAGCAAGATTAGAAAAAATGAGAGAATTGATTTTCTTGAAGCTTGTAAGGGTGGGGGCCAAGAAAGATTTTATAACCTTCCGGTGCAGATTGAATTAAGATGGGGGGAATCCAGGTTTGTTTTTTGTGAAGAAATGCTTGTAAATTTCAGAAATATCTGTCTGGGGCTCATTTATCTGTTCAACTTATCACCTCCACGTGTATTGTTCAGTATCCAAGGAAGTGGAGTGTTGAATTTGGTGCAATTTGGAAATGTGATACATTGCAAAACAAATTATTTTGAATAAACAGACGTAGTAGCGGTGGCTGGGACACAAGTGACGTTGTCGATTACGGCTCGTTCACGACAGCAACAGCAGCTAATGCTTAAGTTCAGGGTCTGCGTCTGAGCGCCACTGAACTTTGAATAAACAGGTGAACAGCTCTTTCTGCAGCAGCGGGGGTGCAGCTTCAGAATTGTGTGGACTGAGTCCTGCAGCTGGTCTTTATTTGCCATGGCTCAACTACAGCAGGTCACTTTGAGCTGCAACCAGCATCACCACAAGCCAAACAAACAGCCCATTCCAAACAGGCAAGTTTAGAATTGACATTACACAGAAAATGATCCAGATTTTATGAATCAAAATCTGTATTTCTAGGAGGGTGGTCTTTCAGTTTCTGTACAGTGACAAATATTCCTTTTAACTATTAAAGGAGAATGGATTTTTTGCCTATGTTTAATGGGAGAGCTTTGCAGAAACTTCCTCTGCACATGATCACCTGTATGTATCTAATTTCAGTACATGTGGATGCAATACGATGATTAAGTGGCCTGTCAGCTTTGGGGGAGGTGCTCTCTGGGTGCCTTTGTAGTATCATTAAGCGATAGGGTAAACCCACATAGAAGAATAATTATAGTTTGAGAGGGAAGTCATTTCCATGTAAAAGAAGAGAGCTTCAATACAGCTTTGCAGCTTTTGTAACTTGAACATTTTTGAAAAGACAACTGCAAAGGTTTTGTGCAGAGTTGCGCCATTGTTCTGCTACTTTAAAAACACCTCATGAGTCATTCATTATTTATTCAGATTGATTTCCAATGTGAAAGACTGATTAAATCTGTATATGTGCAAATTTAACAAAGCCTGGATTTGTTATATTATCAACCAGGTGATAATCCTGATGTGAAACTTCAGGTTTGTAATTAAATCTCCTCCACATCTTTGTTGTGATGTTTGAGCTGCACTGAGGTCAGTTTAATTGGGCTGGACAGGGGCCCTGCAAGAGTCACCAGTGAGCGAAACACCCTGTCCTCATTATTTTTTGACCTTTGGGTAATTCACCAACGTAAATGGTATGGATTGTCCCTTATACGTCCACAATGAGCATTTAATGCAGACAAACATGGTGGGTGTGTGTTCAAAGATAAAAAAAAAACAAACCAAAAGCCTGTTAAGGTTGGGGTTAACTGATTTAGAGTATGGAGCTTCCTCAGGGCACCACACCCCCCCCTGTCATTCCAGGAAAGCTTCTCCTCGTGATCTGATAAACAAACTTCGAGCTCTGCTATCTACCTGAGTGTCTGCCACAGTATGTGTCTATGACTTCAGAGCAACCACTGCTATTTTCAACTACTTCAGGAGGATGAAACACTTATAAAGGATAGTTTGAATTTAGATTTAAAAAGTCTCAAGTACATGTTCTTGGTACAGCAAGCAGAACAACTCAAAAAGCAAGAGTAACATTATTTCATCAGTATATCACCATGAAGCTCGATTTCTTTTCCTTATTTGATGAGAATTTGTTATGAACCTGATTTTGGACTGATGATGTGGACTGATGATATCTCCCATGTGTTTGGGCTCAGAGAGCTCTGCTGCAAAAGCAAAAGATTTTTTAAACCAATCTTTTGTTGGTGTTGACTTCACACAACCCCTCACAAATAAGATTTCTATTCTTTCTTTACTTTTTAGTAGTATTATTATGCACTACATGTAAAACACACATACACCATGAAACACTTGCTTTATGGTCATTTCTGTATTTCGGGGCAAGGGTCACCACTGTGACACTTTAATAGAAATAATCTATTCAAATGGGAAAACCAGGTCATTATGCATACATATATATTATGTATGTCTTGCACTGATGTTAGGCCTCATTTTAGCTACGTAACATGCTTTGTGAAATGTATATTTATTAATTCAGCTTTCTCCATGACTGAAATTACATAACGTAGATGACTACTTTGATTTAATATTGATTGATTTAATCAGAGATATTAATTTATATTGACAAATAAAAAAAATGTGATGGAGAGCTGAAAAACACAACGGCTTGAAAGGCTTGATCAGGGCACTCTCCAATGGAACTGCTCGTTTAGATCATTAAAAAAAGAAATAAAATAAATCTATACACAGGCAGATTTATACCAGAACACAACTTTTTTTTTTTAATTGTGCAGCTTCCAAATTTGAAATGTGAAATGGCAAAGCATTCCATTATACTGATCCTGTGAAAATCAAACCAAACTGTAATTGGGATGTTTGACAGAATAACTTTTGGAGCAGATTTAAATAAGATCCAGGATTTTTTTGTTGGGCGTTTTTAGTCATTTATGTAACTGTCTCAAGAAAGAATGCAGGGATCTGTATGAGAAATGAACAGGTGACATTTGGTGCAGATCCAGAGGGTAGGGGAGCTGAATGATATCACTATAGTTTCTGATTGAAGGATTAAACTGGGGGGGGTGTACAGCTGACCTGAGGTCGAGCTGCAGCTGCGCCCCCCCCCTCCTGCACAAACAGAGTGATAGAGCTGGAGAACAAACAGTGGCCCACCTGTCTGCGGGAGGCCGCCGTGGTGCTGCTGGAGCCGCCGGTGCTGATCATCCTCCCTCCCTGGCTCATCTTCCTCTTCCACTTCTTGGTGCTGCCGTCCTTTGGGTCAGACGGCAGCGGGTTCAGGAACAGTATCCTGGCGATCAGCCCGTACAGAACAGTGGCCAGCATGAGGGGCAGCACGTAGAACACCGCGAAGTCCGTGAAGTAAATGGGCAGGTAGTGACTTCTGGACACTTTGTAGGCGCAGCTGAGCAGCACCGTGTTGTCGTACACCAACTCTTTGGTGTCCGACAGGAAGAGCCACATGACGCAGTAGACCGAGGTGAGCGCCCACACCAGCAGGATGATCCTCTTGGCCCTGGACAGGGTGCACAGGAACTGCGCCTTGATCGGGTGGCAGATGGCGATGTAGCGCTCCACGGTGAAGGCGGTGATGGAGCAGGAGGACGCGTTTATCCCCAGGTACTGCAAGTAGGTGATCCCCAGGCACCCCGCGTAACCGTACACCCACTGACCGTACAGGGCGTCGGTGATGTTGGGCAGCCCGGCGGCCGTCAGCACCATCAGGTCAGCCACGGCCAGGCTCACCAGGTAGCAGTTGGTGGGAGTGCGCATGTGTTTGGTGGTCAGCACCACCAGGATGACCATTACATTCCCCACGATCCCCACCCCGCATATGAGGCACACCAAGAACACACTGAGCACCTTATACTCTACAGAGTAGTCTGTCCACTGGCCCAGGGTGTGATTGTCCTGCACCGACGTGTCATTCAGCACGGTCATGTTATCCATGGTGAGGTTTGCCATTACAGCGAGAGGCTGTGACTCTGTGCGCTTTGACGAGAATCACACCAGGCATTCAAGATTAATAAATCAAATCATCAGGGCCCTAAGAGCCACAAAGTGCCAACAGGAGCCCGGTTATAAATCCTGCAAAAACTTCCTCTCATCCAGATGTAATCCAGTCACACTGCCTCTGCGTCTTCTCCAAATCCAGCCTGTGATGCTGCATCATGAAACTGCAGCACAGTTCTCCATCAGAGCAAAATAAAGAGTGTGAAGTGAAGTCTCGGTTGTTGTTGGCAGAAGTTTGCAGAGCGAGGATGTGTTGCAGCTCCGCTTCGCGCTCCTGTCTCCCTGCTCACCCGGTCATGACTGAGCGCGTCCTGCTCAGCTCTGCCTCTCAGACACTGTGCACACAGCAGCAGCAGCTCTCTGTGCACTCACACTGAAGCACCAACTTCTTTTACCTCCTCTGGTGGGGACTCCCCGTGCAGGCGGGCGCATCTTACTACACACATGATGGTTTTATTGCACAAAGTCACACTGCCTCCTGTCATTTAGATTTCAAGACAAGATGAACTTTTGTCCTCACACGCCAGAGAGAACTCACTTCTGACACCAGCAGAGGGTCAGAATGAGGTGGATGAGAAAATGTAAAATGGGCATGAAATAGAAAGAAAAATAAAGTTAAGATACAGAGAATATGTGCATCATATACACCTTTCACTACAGACAGAAATATGTATGTAGAGAATCATACAATATGATTGCACAAGGATGTTGTAGGCTATACAATATAAAGAAATACACGTGTATATATGTGTAAATATATGTGTGTGTGTGTGTTTGTATGTTATCTCTTTGTATGATACCAAACATATTTTTAGCAAACACACCATGGCTGAGTATTTCCATCTTAAGAGCACATTCACAGAAATCACAGCCTTGTCCAATAGCAAAGACGTTTGTGTGGTTGACCCCACTTGGCTGCAATCGACTTAAAGGTTCAGTTCGAAGGATTTAGTGAAATCTAGTGGTGCAGTTACATGTTGCAGCTGACCTCACCCTCCCCTTCCAAACATAAAGGAGAACATGTGGCAGCCTTCAGTTGTCCTAAAAACTCAAAAGGTGTTTGTCCCATTTGGACTACTGTAAAAAACATGGCAGCCTCTGAAGAGAGGACCAGCTCCTGATGTAAATATAAAGTATTTAAATATAAAGAGCTCATTTAGGGTAAAGAAAAAAACTATTTGTACACTTTTGTTAAAACAGCTGGTGAAAATAACACTACAATTATTTTATATTAAATTTCTGCCAATAGATCCCTTTCACCTAAATCTTACACACTGAACCTTAACTTTTCATCGTGAGCCAAGATGGAGGAGACCCTGATATTAGCTGTGTCGAAAACACTTTATGATGTCAGACATGGAAGTTATAAACTGCCCCATTAAAAAGATATGTCTAACCTCTCCCTAACACTGCTGGAAACAAATACCAGTCTGAACATTTTGTCAGACAGGATTTATGATACAAACCTAGACAACCGATCCTGTCAACTTGTGGGTGGAGCTCAGTAGCTGGAAAAAGGCTCCTCAGCTATAGGTGAGCTGTGAGGGTGGGCAGATGTGGGGCGGGGACATTTTAGCAAAGTCATGTAGCCCAGTCTCGAAATGTGGAAGAAGGGGGGAATAGGTACACTTAATCATTTGAAGGCCATGAGGGGATATTTTCATGACAAACCTTTTGAATGTGTAATTTTGAAGATTCTGAAGTTCTAGGTGTAATAAGTTACTGGGACAAAGACTTAAATGTTTCTGTAGCTTATTTACCAAAAAGTTACTAATGTAAGAGAACAAATAATCCCATAAAGCACAATAAAATCAATCTAAGCTTCTTGTGGCATCAGTCAGGCACAATGTTACCCAATTATAGGACTGTTATGATGATGGAGGTTGATAAAAATGTCACAAAACAATGGACGCGGCCCCTTTAATGTTTTGTTGTGCGAATTTGCTCTAATGTTCCATCTTATGTGGTGGATCCAAAATGCTCACAGCATGACTTGGAATCAGGAGAAGCACAACAGCAGCCTGTCTGCTTTTGTCTCTTAAGATGTTTTGCAAGGCGTAGAGTACAGGCTAATTTGCATGAGAACAAAAAGGCAAAGTCTGGCTACGTTCATAGAAGTGGGCTTTCATTTGAAAAGGGCATTTTTTGATAACTTGTCTGATACACTAATCAGCAGTTGTATTATTGTAAAATGTAGAATTCATCTTTGAGCAGTTTAAGGTCAGCAACATGTTTTATTGATTATTCTTGTGTGCTAAACTGGTAGCTGAGACTAACACTGGTTGTTTTCCTCTGCAAGAGGGTCATGTGATAGGAACCTGACGAGTTTGCGATGGCTACGTCGTCACCAGAAAGACCCAATCAGCAAGCTGTTGTGATTGTTTCCAAACGTCTCCGTCTTTGCCTGTCCAGACTAAAACACAGGAGTTTTTAAACTTCTCAGTTTTAGGCTCTAAAACTCCATTTCTGTGTCAGATGTAGGGTTGATGTTTTACAAATACAGAGTATGGATGTAGCCTCTGTCTCTTTGCTTCTTTCTCAACCCTACCAATCTACCTGTCTGGTTGCTCCTGTGTTCCCCTTTGTCTCTCTACCTCGCTCTCGTTCTGACTTCCTATATGCATCATCGACAAGGAAAAGAAATGAATGTTCAATGTTAGGCTAGATTACATCACTGCAATGTAGAAACAGGTGGGTGAGGTCTCAGGAGTGTTACAACACATACACGGCTGCTGTTGTAGCAATTCTCTTCCCTTGAGATAAACACCTGTAACATTATAGATAGATCTGAGGTAGACTCATGGGAGAAAACGTTCTCTGCTGTGTGTGTGCGTGCGTGTTAGTCTTCAGGATACTGTGGAACAAACTGAGACATACATGTTCATGATTTAACAGTGTGTGACTTGTATTCTCCGTCCCTGTGCTGGTTTAGTCCCTGAGAAGATAAACAAACTGGCTGAGGTTTCAGTCAGTCGCTCAACACACATCCAGATAAGTGTGATTGTTATTCCCTGGGAAACTGCATGGGCTCGAGTGAAAATGGGAAGGATGGAAATGGCTCAGATTTCAGCACAGTAGGCCATGCAGCTGTTTATATTATGGTCTATATAACCATCCCAGGAGGCTGCCTTTGCAATTGGAGCTCCTGCAGTCTGCAGGAAAACCAGCCTGGAAGGAAGCAAGCCTCAGTTTAAAGGACTGAGGGGAGATTATCAGACAGATCTGTGGATAAAAACTAAGATTGCCTGACTGTTGACAGTGGTGTTGTTCGATATCAGCAGTGGATTATTGTGTTTTAAGTGCTCCCTAGTCTCCTTCCCTCGAGCAGGTCAATTTTCTTTGGTCAACCCCGACATCCCTCTAAAGATTTCATATCAATGTGCACGTAATTTACTGTGTAGTATTAATTCATTGTCACCTCGTATCGATCCTCTCTCTGTCTGTTACATCAAATCAGTGGAGGGCTTAATTAAGTGTTCTGTTCTGGTGGCAGATGATCAGTCCTCCTCGCTGCCTGCAGGGGGTCAGGGGGTAAAAATAACACAATTCACAGGTGGGTGAGACATATTGTCATCACTGCCGACAGGATATATCCACCAGGGGTGTCAGAGACAGCAGGCTGGCCAAAGTAAATCAGAGCCAGTATTGATTCTCTCAAATATTATAAATTCCTGTCTTATGGAACTAGTTTGACATATTATGAAATGCATTTATTTGCTTCTCAGCTAAGAGTTAGAGGAGAAAATGATTACCACTCTGATCTCTCTGTGCTAAACATATAGATATAGCCAGCAGCTGGTTAGCTTAGCTGAGCAGAAAAACTTGAAGCTGGCTAGTCTGGCTAGTCTGGCTTCCCTGAAATAACCACTAGGAGCATTAATGTGATAATTTAAGTTTGATCATTTGAGTCAAATAGTTTTAATTACATGTAAAACACTTAATTGGAAGGACAATTAACAGTATTTACAAGTTGTTATTTTCTTATATTTACAGAGAGAATAAGGTGCAGTGATTAGCACTGTCCAACCAGAAGGCACCTGGCTGAATCAGGTGTGTGTGGGTTTTCTCCAACCTCCAGGTTCCTCCCTCTGTCCAAAGACATGCATAGTGGGATTAGGTTAATATAGATTCTATATTGACTGTGGGTGTGAATGTGAGTGTGTATGGTTGCAGCTCCCTTTGTGGCGGATAAGGATAAGCAGTATAAATAATGGATAGATGGATTTACAGTAAGCAATAAGATCGCTTTTGATTCTTTGTATGTTAGAAAAGTAAAATCTATGTATAGATATAACATTTCTTCCAGGCTTTATTTATATTGTGCTATTTGGGAGTACATTACTATTTTGGCGACCCTTCTACTTGAGTTAAAGTAAGTACTTGCTTTTAAATCTACTTACACTATTATAGTAGTAAAAGTACTTGCAAAGTGTATCCTACTGCCCAAGCGTCCACCTCTCATTATTGATTGTTTTTTAAATTTGAAAAGAAGAAATATGAACATGTAACAAAATACATTATAAAAATACACAGTAGCAGGAAGTACATGTATCTACTTAACTTTGCGTAAAGGCTGGAGGGAGGGGGAAACAGATGTGTGAAAAAACAAACCCTTAACTAATTCTCTCACTTGTTCAACAATAACAACAACAGAGCAGTTCCCTAGTTGCCAGTAATGAGTCACATAACCTCAAGTCAAAATAATAATGAGAGACAGGACTTGATGTCCTCTCCACTTGATCAGTGTATAGTTTTCTGCCTTGACCCTGATATTGATACTGCCCCCCCCCCCTCTCCTTTAAATATCCTAATGGGTCTTTACTGCCACCTTATGGTTATTTGCTTCTACTGACACATTAACCCAGAGCAGCTGAGTTACTGTAAATATTTAGATCGTGACACACTTTACAAAGATAGCATTTATCTGTGTGGTTTATGGAACTCTCTAAGTATTAATGGTTCCTCACGGCCACGTGGCTGTATTTGACTCTTCACTTTGATTGAACCTCTTTGTGTAAATGTGAGTATGGACTGCAAACTTTCACTGAGCTGAATTAATTGGATTTAATGTTTGTTTATTTTTTGTACTTTTGAATTCTTTATCATATTCTCTAGGGTTGGGAGAGGTTTTCTTTCCCTTTGCCTTTAAATTCATTTATATTTATGAAATGCATTCCTTTAGACTTACTTGACTCTGATATTTCACCTCCGGGGATTTTGTTCTGTTGCTTAGCAATCACTGCAGGACATGAAACAAACCATGATGTAGAACCGCCTGTCTAAAGCTGTAAAGGGAATACTGCTTGTCTAGTTCTACAAGAACAAAGAAATGTTATACGAGAGGCTACAAATTTCTGAATATCTACAGTGGGAACCATTTACAAATTCTAAGCAGTGACTTCTGTGTTAATATGATGCATTATTCATCTACTGCAGATTTTAGGAGCCAAGTCATTATGTTCTGTATGTAAAATTCAAGGCAGACATCCCAACTGAAATTCAGAAGCAAACATTTTATCAATGACAGTGGTGCCAGCAGATTACTTAGTGCTTGGCTTCCGATGTTCACCAAATATAAATGATATCTTTGGCTTGAATTCCAGACTTTCTGATTTACCTAATTACTGAAAGTTATCCTTTGCTGTCTGAAATGTCCTTCTTACTTCATTTACTGCACTAAGTATATAGAGCTAGACTGAACCTGACTGTGTTAAAATGAATGGGATCCGGCAGCTAAAACAAAACGTTTGCTCTTTTTATAATGAGGAAGCTATTACAACTGGGAACATCAGAGTGGCTGTAAGAAATAATCACTGCTCCAGATGGAGATAGAGAATCAGCAGACAGGACGGACAATTATCATCAAGAGTTATTGAGGGCGGTATAATGCAAAAGCAGCTGTGGCATGTTGGAAAAGATCTCATTAATTATGATAAAGAGATGGATTTATCATAATGGAAGGATCGATGAAATGGCAGAATTAATCTTTTCTTATCCTTAAAGGATGGCGCAAGGAAAACCATTACTGTCCTGTTGTTATCCCACAGTGTCTGTGGTGAAGCCAGCCACATCACTTCAATTTTAATAAGTCACTGTAAATAACCTTGAAGGCCCAAGTTTTAAATATTTCATAACGTGTGCCACCACCACACATGTAGTGTGCCCTCACAAACAGGAAAAAAAGAAAAAAAATCCAGACTGAACCTCAGTCTGCGTTTCTGTGAATTCTCTTGTCATGCTGCTGTCTGCCTGCACTTTCCTCTGCGGAAGGCTTTTTAAGAGCTGCTGGAGAATTGCGTGCTACACTCACCAAACAAACCCAGGGGACTGTGTTCATGCTTATTAATAATCCACAGTTCTCCGTGGCACACTACCCTTCCAGATACCTCAGGACACTCTCTGCCTGTCTGTGGTGCAGATACAAACTGTTCTGATTTAACCTGTACGACATAAACACGCTGATATCTGATAACACTTTTAAACTGACAATTCTTTTTGTCTTATATTAAAAAAATTGTTGATTAGAACAATTGTTTTGCATTAAACATCATTTCTAACTATCTAACCCCCCTTTTTTATTCTTGATGTAGTTTTTACTACACACTTTTATCGTATTATATTGATTTTTCATTTAGTTTGTTTACCCGGAATTTTACGACATGAATAAGTCCCAAATTGTTTTTATTTTTTATTTCTTTATTTTTATTGCTTTTGAACACCAAGTGGAATACTTTTTAATGGTAGAACAGGTAACTTGGGTTCCACATAAACTTCTTACTTCCACAAATATAAAGCGAGGAAGAAAGTGCAGACAAGCTTTAGACTTAAGATTATGACACAACAGACCATGAGGAAAGTAGTCATGGTGTTCTCACCAAAGCCATTCCTTTGGAATGGCATTGGTTGGGGGGTTGATCCTCAGCACACCAGTCGGTTAAGGAGATGGGAGCAACGGGATGCTTCCAAACATCTCATCAGTGGAGATGCGCCCTTGTGTGGCACAGGATCGATGACCTCACC